ATATTAATTTAAAATCATAATTAAATTACAATATTTATATTTTTAAATACATAAATATTCTATGCATATTAATCAAATATTCATTTTTAAAATGTATAGCATTTCTAACAATTTGAATGCACATTATATATTATGCTTCACGGAACATGAATGCAATATTTTGTTAATTATTTTTGGAAGTTCTTTAGAAAGTGTCATCAGCACATGTGATGTGATTGCAGCTCCCGCTCAGGTTCCTGCCGGACGGCCAAAGTACGGAGAGATCCAGATCAAGAACCTGAACGTTCGCTACGACAGCAGCCTGAAGCCCGTCCTGAGACACATCAACTCTCACATCAGACCGGGACAGAAGGTCAGTCTGACGCTCTACACAAACACACTCAGAGCAAATTACGCGTGAAGACTGAGTGTTTTATGGCTAGGTGGGAATCTGTGGACGGACGGGAAGTGGGAAATCCTCCTTTTCTCTGGCTCTCTTCAGAATGCTGGACACGATCGAGGGTAACAGGAGCTTCGTAGTGATCAAACTCGTCATGTTCTGACCTCTTCTGGGTCTTTGTGATTCCATGGATGTGTTTTGTTCTCACACAGGGCAAATAGTCATTGATGGGATTGATATCGCAAAGCTTCCTCTGCAGACTCTACGATCAAAGTTTTCCATCATCCTGCAGGATCCCATTTTATTCAGTGGAACGATTCGGTGAGGCTTTGCACGTTTCTCCAGCCTTTTATACTGTATTTTCAATCAGGTTGCCTGTACAAAGACACACAAATCATCCAGTGCAGTCTGCTCTAGTCTTTCACCTGTGTTTCTCAGGTTTAATCTGGATCCGGAGAGAAAGGCCACTGATCAGATGCTTTGGGAGGCTCTTGAGATTGCTCAGCTCATGCCAGTTGTTAAAGCTCTACCTGGAGGACTAGGTGAGATCAATGAGTTGTTGTTTTTTTTAAAGTAAGGACTGGACGAGCAGAACAAAAATAAGCAGTAAACACTACCAGTCAAACATTTGGAATAAAGATTTTCTTAAAAAAAAAAAAAAGTATCTTCTGCTCACACAGGCTGCATTTATTTGTTAAAAAATACAGAATTTAAAAAAATAAATTAAAAACAGTAATGATTCAGCAAACACATTTGTTATTTAGACATTTTCTAGTGGTTTCAACTTTTTATTCATCAAATAAGCCTGAACAAAGTATCATAATTTCTGCAAAAAATAAATTAAAAAAAGTATAAAAATAAGAAATATTATTAATAACTGAGCAACAGTAATAGCTGATAATAAATCGGCATATTAGAATGATTTCTTAAGATCATGTGACACTGAAGACTGGAGTAATGATGCTGAAAATACAGCTGCGCATCACAGAAATAAATTACAGTTTAACAGATATTCGCATAGAAAACAGCTGCAAAAATATATCACAATTTTAATGTATTTTCGATTACATAAATGCAGCCTTGGTGATTTATTTTTATTTTTTCCAAAAACATTAAAAATCTTAATTATTCCAATTGCTGGACTGGTCATGTAAATATCTCATAAATCCATTCATTTGATTTAATAAGCGATTCACAGAAATGCTCCGCTCCACAGATGCGATGGTGACGGAAGGAGGAGAGAACTTCAGTCAGGGCCAGCGGCAGCTCTTCTGTCTCGCTCGAGCCTTCGTGAGGAAGAGCAGCATCCTCATCATGGATGAAGCTACAGCGTCTATCGACATGGCCACAGTGAGAACAAGACTGAGCTTATTCAGCGGCTTGTTTCTCTGCTGCATGTAAAGTTTGGTTAATCACCGTCTTTGTTCCTGTAGGAGAGTATTCTGCAGAAAGTAGTCATGACGGCGTTTGCAGACCGAACAGTGGTTACGATAGCAGTGAGTCCCTGCACCTCTTTAAACTATACTATACAAAACTACACAGCAGGGGTCTTCAGCTCTGGCCCTCGAGGTCCACTTTCCTGCAGAGTTCAGCTCCAACCTGCGAGTAACTTCCTAGTGACCCTGAAGACCATGATGAGCTGGTTTTAGGGTTGGAGCTGAACTCTGCAGGAATGTGGACCTTGAGGGCCGAGTTGAGAAGCCCTGCTATACAGCATTTACTAAATCTAAAGACTGTCATCTACTCATGCCAATCCACAAAAACCTTAGCAACATTCACGTTAATATGCTGGATTATATGGAAGCTTATTTCTGACACTGTATTAAAAAAAAAAAATAATAATAATTGCAAATTTTATTTCTCACAATTTATATCCAATGATGACTTTTTTCTTGTAATTATGAGGGGGAAAAAGTCGGAAGTCAAAAGGTAATTGGGAGTTTATATCTCATAATACTGATTTTTCCCCACACAAATTCTGAGGTTATATCTCACAATTCTGACTTTTTCACACAAATTCTGAGTATATATCTCATAATTCAGACTTTTTCCTCACAATGCTGAGTTTCTCATAATTCTGACTTTCCTCAGTGCTGAGTTTATATCATAATTCTGAGTATATATAATAATTCTGACTTTCCTAAATGCTGAGTTTATCTCATAATTCTGACTTTCCTCAATTCTGAGTTTATATAATAATTCTGACTTTCCTAAATGATGAGTTTATATCATAATTCTGACTTTCATCAATGCTGAGTTTATATCATAATTCTGACTTTCCTCAATGCTGA